CTGGTGGGAATTATTTTTAACCCTCTCAGAAAGAGCTGAGGGTGWTTGCAGAAACCTGATCTTGTATTTATTTGTTACCTGGTGATCAGTGAGGCYTCAATTCCTGGAATTACTTACTGTAATTAATACCTGGAAAATCAATTTATAACTCTRCCTCCTCCATCCCCCAGATTTTAAYGYTTTAAATTTAATGCTGATATTAGAATTGGTCAGAAAATCAGGAAAATCATCTGAAAGTAATAAATGGTTTAATAAAGGATCCCAGGTCTTTACTCCTGTTTCACAAAGGGTATTTTAAACACCCAGAATGTCTGTTTTAGTCAATAATTTCCCTCTTAGGAGCAGGATCAGGATCAGCCCAGCCTCCCTCATTCACCCTGAGCACAATCTCCAGTTGCTGCAGTGCTGCTCCTTATCTGGCTCAGGAAGTTAAGGCTCAAAGAAGGGTAATAACTGTAAATTTCTTCCCAGACTGTCTGAAAACAAGATATCTCTGCTGTTGTATTTTTATGAGTACATTTATCTTCAAAAAGGGTGGCATTGACCTGGTAGTTACGGCGTGACCCGGCCTTTTCTTGGCCACAATCAAAAGTAGAAGGCTCATAATTAATGTCATTTCTAACACTTTTCAATCCTGGTTATGTCATGTGTGGCCTAGATGGTTTTGGCTATTTTTTGGCTTTGTTTTTTTGCTAATTTTTTGGTATTTTTACTGATTTAATGTATTTTGTTAAAGGCAAAAGGTTCCTTRGCCCCTGTGTCACCACACTTAATTTTTACACTTTCAGTTGTGCTTAAAATGAGAGATTTTAAATTTTATTGTRCTTTTAAGATCTAAAATTGTTGGCAAAAAAAAAATTTACAAAACAATTTTACAAAAAAAAAGAGATGGTGAAAAATCCCAGAAATATCAAACCTGGCTTGGGAAAAGGAGGATTTGGGGTCACTTGTGGCTCTTGGGGAGTTKATGAACTCCTTGGAAATGGGTGTTGTCCTTTTGGAATGGCTCCATTTGGTTCTCCAGGTGGGTTCAGCTTTCCTCTGAGCAAAATAATCCACAAGAGAGTTCAACAGCTTTTCAAATTRATGGATAAAGTTAATTAAAGCTGGTAATTGATGTCCTGCTGGCTCCAGCCAAGCAAAGGCTCCTCTGTAGGCAAGGATGGATTTTGTAACTTGGAAAATCTCTGCTTTGTATTTATWTGAGTTGAAAATTGGATGTTGACTGTTCTTAAAGGGTTTGGAGAAACCCAGATTTGCTTTATCTTTGTTATAAATTGATCCCAACCCTGCCAGCCCTCAGCTCTGTGGATTTTTCCAGCCATGAATTTGGCTTTTCCCATTGCAGGAGCTCATCCTTGGGGCTGTCTGCTCTGGGGGATGCTCCACAGTCCCTGAACCCAAAGATCCTTTTAATGCCTGAAAATGATGGATGACTGCTGCTTTTTTGGCAGACTGAACCATGGATTTGGGAGTTTAAAGTTGAATTTTTGAGGTGTCTGTGCGGCCTTGGCTCCCCACGYGCTCAGTGAACGCTCTGGCTGTTGACAGCTTTGTTCTCTGGAGGAGCTGCGTTCATTTTTGGGGCACAAATCCAATGTAATTTGATGTTTTCTCAGCCAATTTGTGCTTTTGTTTCTATGTGAGATCCTGAGTGGGTTTTCTCCCTCCTTTCTGGACAGGGATCCTTAACAGTGTGAGCAGCAGGCGAAGGAAGCAGGTGGCCATCAGGAGGAAGGAGCATTTTTGACATTATCTCCTGAAATAATGATGAAAAGATGCTGTTGGTAGGGATGAACACGAGTGTTGGTAAAAGATAAAACACCAAAAAAATAAGGAAAACCCCCCACTTGTACAACAATGTTTGTTATATTTAGATTTTCCCCCTGGCAGGGATAATTGTGACATTCCCCTAGAGCTCCACAAATGAATTGTGCATTTCAGTCTCCATCCCCAGCAGCAAACTGGGAAATCCCAGAGTTCAGGAGTCCTTCCCATCCTTGTTTTTCTAAAAATGGAGAGTTTGCCAGAGAATTCCAGCTCCTCTTGCCATGAATTCTCCTCCATTAACTGATCAGTGGGAGCAAGAACGAGGGAACAACCTGTGTGAAAACCTCACTTGGAATTTTCATCCATTTGCAGAAACATTTTTGTGATTTTCAGAAACACTTTTTAGCTCAGGGAAGAGAGAAATGTCAGATAATTCCTTCTGCTTGGTTTTTTTTCTCTGTCCAAATGGGAACCTGAGCTGGGGGAAGGAGGAGAGGACGGTGCTGGCATTGCCAGAAAATTACCATTTTTTTGTGGTGGTGCTTTGGGCAGCTCATTGGCTGCAAAATATAGCCTGGCCTTTTGTATTAAAAAAAAAACAACCCCAAAACCAAAGGCTAAATATGCAGTCATTAATTGGTATGATTATTTTTTAGGAATATTTTCACCTGTAAATTTGATTATTCAGTAAACTGCATTTAAAAATTCCCCAAGATATCTCAATATCTGCAGGTTGCATGCATTTAAAATTTTTTTGGAGAGTTGTGTCCAAGAACAGGCAAATTGCTGCTCAAGTCTCTCCAAGTCCTGATGCTTCTGGGGAAAGGAAAATGTGAGCACAAATGGAAAKTTCTGAGTGCAGATGCTCTGAGTTTATGAATATTCTGACCCCCAGAATATTTTCTTTCCATCTTCCCCCTGAGTACTGGCAGAAAGAATTGCTTCCCTTGGGATCTGAGGGAATATCCAAAGCTTTTCTYCTCCTTGCTTGTGTTTTCTGTGTTTTAGTGCATCAGGAATGGTTAAAGTTGTTAAACCTTCAAAAAAGAAAGAAATTGGAATTTGCTGTAGTGAGTTTTAATGGGTTTTTGTCAGGTTGGCCCAATATTTTAATTTTATGTAGAATTCCATGTTTTATTCTGTGTCTATTCAGCAGATTCCTAAATAGATCTGAAAATGGGGAATTCAATGGGAAGGAAATTCCTGAATCACCCCCACAACTCCCTGCCAGGTGGGAAYTGAGCTCTGCTCCCAGGGAACAGGGACAGRATGGGAGGAAATGGCCTAAAACTGCTCCAGRTGASRCTCAGATTGGACACCASGARGAATTTCAATCAATTCCATAAAATTTAACATTCCTAAAACAAAGCAACCCCCCCCCCAATTCCTTATTTTATGCCAATTTTTAGTGCTAAAACTTTTTTTTTCTTTCAAACTTAATAAGAGCGAAATGCTAAGGATTTTCTAAATGTAATTTTATTGCATTTATCTCTCCAGTTGAAATTAATTATTCGAAGTCTTCATTAAAAATAAGCTTTGGTAARTGACATTTGGAACAGGCCTCCAGAAGTGATTGCAAGGGAGATGGTGATAAAGAGCAGTGTCTGAAARGAAGTGTAAAACATTAGAAATGGGGATGTGAGAATTGCAGGGGAGCTGTTTGGACAATTTGGGAAATGGAATGAGCACACCCACGTTGCTGCTGGCCTGGGAGCCACCAGCACAACTCCCTGCTTTATCAATGTTTGGGGCAGTTTTCGAAATGTTTGGTTCAGAGAAAAGAGGCAGGAGTTGTCTGTTTTTCAAAATAAAACTCTGGAGGTTTTTCTCCTCAAGCAGGTGACTGGAAGTGTCCTAAATCCCGATTATCCAGGGAACAACAACAGGGAAACAACAGGATTTGCTTTCTTTTTTTTTCATGTATTTCTTTCTGAAATGGAGCCCCACGTGCTCACGAGGAGCTCTGGCACAGTCTGTGCCTGTCTGGGCTGAGCCAAACATCTCTGGATGAGCCAAACATCTTCCAGAGCTCCCCAACTCTGCACTCTGGTGATCCTGCATTCCRTGAGGAATCCCATCTGCTGCAGTCCCTGCAATGGGAGGCATTGAGCCTGAGGTTTTTGGGGCCAAAAAATCCGGGGTCAAGCATTTTATCCATGTCAAAAATCGGGATCCATTCCTTGTGAGCTCAGTGACGGGGCCTTATCTTTCCTTTTTGATGGATAACACAGGAATTCTTGAGGCTGTGCTCTGCTACAGCTGAAGGAAACACTTGCTGTCACTTCATTTGCATTCCAGCAATTAGTAAAGGGAAAATTAATGGCCATCAGTCACGTTTRGGATGCTGGACCGGGAAAAATCAGAGCGAGCTGTTTCATGTGGGAAGCAACAGGAATCTAAACTGGAATTTCTCTCCTCCATGAGCACAGCAAAAAGCTTTAATTCTCAAATTCACCCATTGGAATCCTGAGTGATGGCGTGKCAGTAATGTCAGTAATCTCTGAACAGATTCAGTGCTGTTTACTTTGTATTCACTTCTGCAGTCCAGTGTCAACTTATCTTGAGTTCTTTCCTTCTCTATTGTCATCAGGAGTGACCAGAGAAGGTTTTTCTGCTTTCTCGCACAACGGATGCTTTCTGTTGTTTGGTTTTAGGTTTTTTCCATGTGTRAAATGCACACAAGAAGTGGTTTGGTCATGTTTTTGTTGAAAGTTGGTCATGTTTTTATTGAAAGTTGGTTGTGTTTTTATTGAAAATTGCAGTTTGGTCCTGCTTGCTCTGATGCTCCTCGTGCTGCTCATTTTTCCCTCCCAGAGGACAGCACATGCTCTTTAATCAACATGATTATCTGCTTTTGCATTAAATCCTTCCCAGTTCTTCTTTCCTTGGATCATCCTKCTAAAACTTGTGCGTTACCTTGTGAATTGGCCACATTACCCCTGAAAATGCTCAGATTCTCCCAAAAAGAGCCTGGTGCAGCTGTGATTGACTGACTTCCTCCTGCATGTCCTGAATTGATGATTTCTTTGCTGCTTCCCCAGGGGTTGTGGACTTCCCTACAATCCATTGGATCCATCCTGGAATCATTGCAATATTTGGGGTGGTGGAGATGTCAGGATGGGTGGATCAGTGGTGGCAATGCCTGATCCACACCCCCAAACCCTTCCCCACTGTTCATGGATCAGCTTTACTCCTTTACATCCCCTTCCCTCTGTGTTTTTCCCTTGCAGTGTCGTCCCTCAGACCACGGTGATCCTCAACAACGACCGGCAGAACTCCATCGTGGCCAAGATGGTGGGGCAGGAGGAACCTCTGAGCAGGGCAGCTGATTCCCTGGAAAACATTCTCAGCAAGTCAGTGACATCCCTACACCCATCCCCTCCTTCCCGAGCCCTTGGAAGGGGAAATCAGGGATGATTGATCCTTGAAACTGGGCTGGGATGGTTTCTTTTCTGCCCTCCTGATGGGGAGAAGCTCCTGGAGCAGTGGGATTAGCTCAGTGTTGATTGAAGCTGACAGAGAAGGATTTCCCATAATTGTGGATTTTACATGGATGCACAATCCCTTGGGAACGTGCCAAGATCCTGTATTTAACCAGCTGAAGGAGGAGTRTGCAGTCCAAGGAAAACTTGGACTATCTAAAGCAAATTTGAAAYAAGCAGAACTCAGGAGCTGTTTTGTTTTATAGCACATTTCTTATGTTATTAGCGTGTTTAATTCCCCCATAACAATGTGCAGGGCTCTGAATTGATCCCAATAACCCCCAAATTTTGATTCCATTTCTGCTCAGGAGTTCTTTTGTTTTATAGGACATTTATTTTGCTATTAGCATGTTTAATTCCCCCATAATGATGTGCAGGCCTGTGAGTCAATCCCAATAACCCCCGAATTTGGATATTCCATGATTCCCTTCCTGCTCAGGAGTTGTTTTGTTTTATAAGACAATTCTTTCATTGATCAGTAGTTTTAATTCCCCCATAGCGATATGCCGGGCTGTGAGGCGATCCCTATAACCCCCAAATTTGGATATTCCATGATTCCCTTCTGCTCAGGGTTTCTTTTGATTTATAGCATATTTCTTTTATTATCAGCATTTTAATTCCCCCATATCAGTGTGCAGGGCTATGAGTTGATCCCAATAACCCCTGAATTTTGATTCCATTTCTGCTCAGGGGTTCTTCTGTTTTATAGGACATTTATTTTGCTATTAGCATGTTTAATTCCCCGATAATGATGTGCAGGGCTCTGAATCGATCCCAATAACCCCCGAATTTGGATATCCCATTATTCCATTCCCGCTCAGGAGCTGTTTTGTTTTATAGCACATTTATTTTGCTATTAGCATGTTTAATTCCCCCATAACAACGTGTAGGGCTGTGAATTGATCCCARTAACCCCCGAATTTTGATTCCATTTCCGCTCAGGRGCTMTTTTGTTTTATAGCACATTTCTTTAGTTATTAGCATGTTTAATTCCCAGATAATGATGTGCAGGGCTGTGGGTTGATCCCAGAAAGCCCCGAATTTGGCCATTCCCCACTCACTCTCCCCAAGGGCACCCTTCCCTCACCCTGACCCCGTTCCTCGCCCGCAGCGCGGTGCCCGGCCGGCGGCAGAACACCATCGTGGTGAAGGTGCCAGGTCACGATGACAGCCACAACGAGGACGGCGAGAGCGGCTCCGAGGCCAGCGACTCGGTGTCCACCAGYGGCCAGGGCGGCAGCCAGAGCATCGGCAACAACGTCACCCTCATCACCCTCAACTCCGAAGGTGCGCGGGGAGCGCGGCGGGGCGGGCTCGGGGTCAGCTGGGAAATTCCAGCCTGGAGTATCCAAGGTCCAACCTGGAATATCCATGGTCCAGCCTGGAATATCCATGGTCCAACCTGGAATATCCCAAAGTCCAACCTGGAATATCCATGGTCCAACCTGGAATATCCCATGGTCCAACCTGGAATATCCAAGGTCCAACATGGAATATCCATGGTCCAACCTGGAATATCCATGGTCCAGCCTGGAATATCCCATGGTCCAACCTGGAGTATCCATGGTCCAACCTGGAATATCCATGGTCCAACCTGGAATATCCATGGTCCAACCTGGAATATCCCAAAGTCCAACCTGGAATATCCAAGGTCCAACATGGAATATCCCAAAGTCCAACCTGGAATATCCCATGGTCCAGCCTGGAATATCCCATGGTCCAACCTGGAATATCCCATGGTCCAATGTGGAATATTCCAAAGTCCAGCCTGGAATATCCAAGGTCTAACCTGGAATATCGAAGGTCCAACTTGGAATATCCCATGGTCCAGCCTGGAATATCCAAGGTCCAACCTGGAATATCCAAGGTCCAATTTAGAATATTCCAAGGTCCAACCTGGGATATCCCATGGTCCAACCTGGAGTATCCAAGGTCTAACCTGGAATATCCCATGGCCAACTTAGAGTATTCCAACATCCAACCTAGAATATTCCAAGGTCCAACCTAGAATATTCCAAGGTCCAACCTGGAATATCCCAAGGTCCAACTTAGAGTATTCCAGCATCCAACCTAGAATATTCAAAGGTCCAGCTTGGAATATTCCAAGATCCAACCTGTAATATCCCAAGGTCCAACCTGGAATATCCCAAAGTCCAACCTAGACTATCCCAAGATCCAACTTAGAGTATTCCAACGTCCAACCTGGAATATCCCAAGGTACAACCTGAAATATTCCAAGGTCCAACCTGGGATTTTTAGGTGCTGCAGTGAAATGGTATAGAGGTAAATCGATCTGAAGAATTTGGTTTGCTTCCTGAAATTATTTTCATAGGATTGTCCAGCTTTTGTAGCTATTCATACGATATATGAATATTAATTATAAACAGATTTTAGGTTCTGGCCTGTTCGGTTGGGGTTGTTTCCAAGGATATTTATTTCTTTTGGGGTCAATGGGGAATTGCAGCCGACTGAGACTGTGAAAATAATGATCAAATGTATTTTTGTGGAGTCTGTTTGTGTTTCTGTATGAGAAATGTGTGGCCAGCAGGACTAGGGAAAGGATTGTCCCTCTGTGTTGGACATCAGGAGGAATTTCCTCATGGAAAGGGTGCTCAGGGTTGGCAGGGGCTGCCCAGGGAGGGTTGGAGTGCCCATCCCTGGAGGTGTGCCAGGAATTCCTGGAGGTGGCACTGAGTGCTCTGGGCTGGGGACAGGGTGGGCATCGGGCACAGCCTGGGCTCTGATCCTGGAGCTCTTTTCCACCCTCAGTAATGCTGGAATTCTCCCTGCTCTGCCAGCTGTGCCAGGAGCAGTTTCCAACCTCAGGAAGGAATTTGCTGTACAATTCCCTTTGTGCCTTGGTGTGGCACAGACCTGCACAGACAAATGTGATGTTTTATGCCATTGCCGTGGATGTAAATTCAGGAGAAACACCTAATCCATTAATGTCTCCAGATCTGATTGCCCTCAGACCTTTGGAGCACTCATCCATTAAAAATCTCAGAGATTGATGAACGCTCAGAGGATCAGATCACTGATCCCCCTGCAGCTGCCCTTGCACGGGAGGGCATTGCTAAGTGACTTCACTGCAGGGTGGCACCACTTCAATTATTGATAAAGGACGAGCTGGAAAACAATAGGGAGAGGCAAAGTCACAGCAGCCCTTGGTTTTCATCAGCTGGGGCAGAGTTTGTGCCCTTCTTGCTCAGAACTTCATTTGTGAATGAATTCTTTAGGCNGATGACAGCCACAACGAGGACGGCGAGAGCGGCTCCGAGGCCAGCGACTCGGTGTCCACCAGCGGCCAGGGCGGCAGCCAGAGCATCGGCAACAACGTCACCCTCATCACCCTCAACTCCGAAGGTGCGCGGGGAGCGCGGCGGGGCGGGCTCGGGTCAGCTGGGAAATTCCAATCTGGAATATCCCAAAGTCCAACCTGGAATATCCATGGTCCAACCTGGAATATCCCAAGGTCCAATCTCATCTATTCCAAGGTCCAACCTGGAATATTCCAAGGTCCAACCTAGAATAATCCACGGTCCAACCTGGAATATCCAAGGTCCAATTTAGAGTATTCCAAGGTCCAACCTAGAATATTCCAAGTCCAACCTGGGATTTTCCAAGGTCAAACCTGGAATATTCCAAAGTCCAATTTAGAGTATTCCAAAGTCCAACCTAGAATATTCCAAGGTCCAGCCTGAAATATCCCATGGTCCAATCTGGAATTTTCCAAGGTCCAATCTCATATATTCCAAGGTCCAACCTAGAATAATCCAAGGTCCAATCTGATATATTACAAAGTCCAACCTGGAATATCCCAACTCCAACCTGGAATCTCCCAGTTCTAACCTCGAATATTCCAAGGTCCAATCTGGAATATCCCATGGTCCAACCTGGAATATCCATGGTCCAACCTGGAATATTCCAAAGTCCAGCCTGGAATATTCCAAGGTCCAACTTAGGGTATTCCGAGGTCCAGCCTGGAATATTCCAAGGTCCAACCTAGAATAATCCAAGGTCCAACTTAGGGTATATTCCAAGGTCCAACCTAGAATAATCCAAGGTCCAACTTAGGGTATATTTCAAGGTCCAACCTGGAATATCCAAGGTCCAGCCTGGAATATCCAAGGTCCAGCCTGGAATATCCCAAGGTCTAACCTGGAATATCCCAAAGTTCAACCTGGAATATCCAAGGTCCAACCTGGAATTTTCCAAGGTCCAACCTGGGATTTTTAGGTGCTGCAGTGAAATGGTGTAGAGGTAAATCGCTCTGAAGAATTTGGTTTGCTTCCTGAATTATTTTCACAGGACTGTCCAGCTTTTGTAGATATTCATACAATATATGAATATTAATTATAAAGAGATTTTAGGTTCTGGCCTGTTTGGTTGGGGTTGTTTCTGAGGGTATTTATTTCTTTTGGGGTCATTGGAGAATTGCAGCCGACTGAGACTGTGAAAATAGTGATCAAATGTATTTTTGTGGAGTCTGTTTGTGTTTCTGTATGAGAAATGTGTGGCCAGCAGGACTAGGGAAGTGATTGTCCCTCTGTGTTGGACATCAGGAGGAATTTCCTCATGGAAAGGGTGCTCAGGGTTGGCAGGGGCTGCCCAGGGAGGGTTGGAGTGCCCATCCCTGGAGGTGTGCCAGGAATTCCTGGAGGTGGCACTGAGTGCTCTGGGCTGGGGACAGGGTGGGCATCGGGCACAGCCTGGGCTCTGATCCTGGAGCTCTTTTCCACCCTCAGTAATGCTGGAATTCTCCCTGCTCTGCCAGCTGTGCCAGGAGCAGTTTCCAACCTCAGGAAGGAATTTGCTGTACAATTCCCTTTGTGCCTTGGTGTGGCACAGACCTGCACAGACAAATGTGATGTTTTATGCCATTGCCGTGGATGTAAATTCAGGAGAAACACCTAATCCATTAATGTCTCCAGATCTGATTGCCCTCAGACCTTTGGAGCACTCATCCATTAAAAATCTCAGAGATTGATGAACGCTCAGAGGATCAGATCACTGATCCCCCTGCAGCTGCCCTTGCACGGGAGGGCATTGCTAAGTGACTTCACTGCAGGGTGGCACCACTTCAATTATTGATAAAGGACGAGCTGGAAAACAATAGGGAGAGGCAAAGTCACAGCAGCCCTTGGTTTTCATCAGCTGGGGCAGAGTTTGTGCCCTTCTTGCTCAGAACTTCATTTGTGAATGAATTCTTTAGGCYWTCATAGCTCTGAAGRCATGGAATCATTTGGGTTGGAAAGGAYYTTAAAACTCATTTAGGAATTTTTKKGATAAAKCAGATTYGCTGTGAYGGGGCRGTTTTGTGTTTCTTCTGAAGGTGMTGARTTTTACTTGGAAAAACTTGGCAAGAACTTGCTGTTCAAAATAYCAGACAGGGTTGGGTGGRAWAGTGGGAAGGAATTCCTCCCTGGGAGGGTGGGRRGCCCTGGGGTGGAATTCCCAGAGGATCCCTGGAAGTGTCCCAGGCCAGGCTGGACAGGGCTTGGAGCAGCCTGGGACWGTGAAGGTGTTGGGGTTGGAATTGGATGAGTTGGAATTGGATCATCTTCCATGTCCCCACCCAAACYATTCCAGGATTCTGTGATTTTTCCTTTGTATTCCCAAGGAAATAAAATCTTTCTTTCCCCTCACAAGGACAGTCCAGTGAAGAACCCCAGCTCAGTGGGTGCTGYTCCTTGTCCAGAATTCCCAGTGCTGAGCTCCATTTGGTGTTGGGAGGAGCTTTGGGTGAAGGTGACTTCACAGCTCTTGAACCTTTCGTTCAGAATTCCAGCCTGCTTCTCTCCCTTCCAAGAATTTAATGACTTTTAATTAATAAAGCCAGTACTCTGGAGTCTCTGCCAATTAATCCTTGCCCCTGTGAACTCTTGCTAATTGACAGGAGCTCATTTAGAAGATCACAGAATCATGGAATGGTTTGGCTTGGAARGGACCCTGAAGCCCATCTCGTTCCAACCCCCATATGATGCTGATGTTGAATTTTCTATACATCAGCCAAAACCTTATTRAATTTCTCTAGAAACTGAGGTTTATTTTTGTAGGTTAGGATTTGTTTTTTCGGGGTTTATTTTAATTTTTTAAAGATTAATTCATCTCTCTGCCTCTCTGCACCTACC